TCTGTGCTTCAGTGCACTCTTTTACTTGGTGTTTCTGAGACACCGCAGAAACTGAGACCCTCCTGAGGCAGAAATAACTGGGTTTCTTCTGAGCAGCCTTGCTCTGATGGGTTTCAGAGTCTTTGTGAATAGCACATGATGTCTGTGGCTGTGCCCACTCATCACCAGCAACTTTCCCATCATAAGCAAAGATGAATATGGGCAGATTACAGAGAACCAAAGACTGTCTTACATAATGACAGGACAGTCTGCCATGCCTCATCCAAAACTTAGCAACAGAGCCTCACCTTCCATTCTCATGTACGATGATGTGAGTGATCTATCTTCTTCACATGGTAACAAGTACAGAGAATCACATCATTAAATGACGCCTGTCCCCATGGGGATGAAGCAGAGACTGAGGGAATGGTCAACTAATAATCAGTCCAACTTAGAACCCACCCCATGGGCAAACACCAACCATCCACACTATTAATAATACTCTTACACTTGTGAACAGGAACATGTTGTCCTCTGAGAGACTCTACCCAGAAGCTGACTCATACCAATGCAGACACCCACGGCCAAACAGTGGATGGAGCCTGGGAGACTCTCATGGAAAGCTAGGAGGAAGGATTAGGGGCCCTGGAGGGGACTGGAAATTCACCAGAAGACCAACAGAGTCAACTAACCTGGACCCTTGGCACTCTCAGAGTTTAGACCACCAACTAAAGAACATACACGTGCTAGACCTAGGCCTCCCCGAATATATGTAGGAGATATGCAGCCTGGCCTTCATGAGGGTCCCAAACAACTGGAGTAGGGGTGGGGTGGGGGGCTATCCCAAAGCTGTTTCCTGTATGTGGGATATGTTCTACTAGATGGCCTGCCCTGTGTGGCCACAGTAGGAGAGGAAGCACCTAGTCTTGAAGAAACTTAAAGTGCCAGGGTAGAGGAGATTCCCAGGTACCTCCCACTCACTCAGAGGAGAGGGAGAAGGGGGACAGGGGAAGAATTGTTGGGAGGGAGTGACCAAGATGGGGGCACTGAGCGGGATGTAAAGTGAATAAGTAAAAGGAGGAAAAGGAGGAGGAGGAGGAGGAGGAGGAGGAGGAGGAGGAGGAGGAGGCCTGTCCTTGTCCTAAGAAGACCTGCTAATGACTGTCTTTAAAGCCTGGATGTCACATTCTCACAAGCATACGTTATTCTCACTCCACACTGACCTTATCTTAGCAATATTTGCAATGATCCTGCTTTCAAAGGAGGTCACATTCTGATATAATGGCTATTAAAGAATTCTCCTTTTGAGAATGTGGCAAACAGGGTCTGAAGACAGTCATTACCAGGACTTTTTAGGACAGTGACAGGAATTCTTTTATGATTTTATATCCTTTATTGTCTTATTTGAAACATTTTATGTATTTCAGTTTTAAATACTGTCTGACTAGCATCCAGACCTGTCTTCCCAAAATGTACTCTCAAGAATGTTGTTGATATATACTGTGACAGTAAGTCGGAAACTGTTCACTATCAACTTTGCTTCTCATGCCTCCTTTTAATTCAGGAAACTTTGAATTTTCATTTTAGCAAGACAGACTGGGGAGTCCATATATCTGATATTATCCACATGTGTTTATGTTTCTAGACTCCTTACTCCAATCATCTTCACCTCCTCTATAGTCCTGCCTGACAAATTTCATCCTTGCCCAGGTGTCTACCTGCCCATATCTGGTCTGCTTAAATGTAAGCAAAAATTGTTCTGGCAGGCTCACCAGCAATCTGTGCCTCTTCCTTCTCTGAAATCAAAGGTATATGAAATATTAAATGGAAGTGGGAATCTTTGTCTAATTTGCTCACTGGTGACTTGCATATACTAGTAAGTAAATAATAACCAGCTCCTGAAGAATTAGAAGGAACCTCAGAAAGCATTTGATTCCAAGGTGAAAAAAAAATCTCCCCTTGTGGGATAGCGAATTAAATAGAAATAAAAGATTTATCAGCACATTTTGTTTTCCATTCAAAATTAAATCCTGTGAGAGGATAATATGTGTTATAAAATTTTATTTTATTAAATAGGAAGATGTAGATAAAAATCATGAGCAGAATTAATTGAAAAGTATCAGGAGCTCATCTTTGATCACTTGGAAACCTACTCTCTTACACAGAAGGCAGAAACTGACGAGAGAAGGAAAGGGGGCTTTCTCGATTACAGCCAATCGAACTGCTGTGGACTCCGGGTTCACTATGGAAGCCCTGGACTCCATAGTGTGTGTTCTACCAGCAGGAGGAAGACAATAAGAAACAAGACTTTGATGCTCTTCAGTTCATTAAGTTTAAATGAGCATATGTACAAGGTCATAAAGTCAGTTTGTCTGCTAATTTCCAAGTAGTAAACTAATATGCACATTAGAACTATTTGCTGTCTTTAATCGAAGACACCTTCACCATTAGCCTATAAATATTTGCAAACATTCTGCTGCCCCACACACATATTATCAATATGACCACATTTAACACATATAGATAATTATGTGGGTTTTACTACAATTGATGGGCCAAGAAAGACTCCACGAACAGTCGGTCGGCCAGCCTCTTCAGTATGCCTTTCTCTAAGCTGAACTTTTTCATAGACTAGGTATGATCTCTTTTGTGACTCAAGTTTTGCTTTGGAGGGCTTATTAGTACATTTTTTTATTACTGCCCTTAAACATATTGATAAATGTCTGCAGGAATGAATCCCTGGAGCTATGTAATTCGCACTAAGGTAATTTAATGAGTGGACAATGACCTCCACTTGCCAAGGTACCTCATTTGCATTTCAAGACATTTGTTCCCAGTTGGTGATTTACAGGGTACAGTTATTTAAAGAAAGAAAAGTTGAGTTTGTTTTATTAAATATGTCAACTCAAAATTCTGCACTTATAGTTGCAATGTCTGAATGTCATTTTGTTTTTCTGCTAGTCAGCATCCCATAAGCACTTCTGTTTGTCTAGCTCATCCAATTCAGTCCCCTGCCCCCGCCACCTGCCTTCCTCTCTATTATGTCTGTCAGCTACAGTTCATCAAAAATTCATAGTTGATGCACCATGATAGACTACTGCAGGGTTATTAAAAAGCATAAGGTTCCAGAGCCCCTGAGTGTGAGGTTGTGGTGTGAGAGAATAGAAGGGAAGAACACCGTAGATCTAACCATCTCAGGTAGTAAATACAGTAGGCATTGAGAGGTGGGACTGTGAGTGTGAACAGGGGCAGAAGTGAATGCTGGAGTAGGCATCGAGAGGTGGGACTGTGAGTGTGCACAGGGGCAGACGTGAATGCTGGAGTAGGCA